CAATTTACCAGATTACTACTTCCCTCTTTTGACAGATCTTTCCACAAGAAATCCCGAACGCTCTTTTCCAGCTTCTTGATTACAACCCTGGGCATTTGAACACGGAGAGCCATCTCCCAGTTTTCTTGGGGGAAAAGAAAAGATTACACGAAACCATCGAACAAAGGAGTTTTACTGTCCTCACAAACAATTCTAACTGAAAAGGAAACAGAAGGGGTACACAAAGATGAGCTTGAAAAGTCGAGTCTCGGTGCATCCCACAGCTAAGCAGCCTGATCTCAACTCTCTACCCTTTCTTACAAATTTCTGGAGTTTCTTCCCCTCCAAATCTCCCATTGTTGTTTTAACCGCTAGACCAAATCATTGTCACCGTGTTCTAAAAGGTTACTTGCAAATGCAAACGCTTGTTATTAACTTCACAGCAACAAATTGAGCCTTACCTTTAATCCAAATACACCTCTCTCAGCTAAGGAGGTGCAGATGGTCAAAGGGTGCAACCAAAACTATCTAATCTGCTGAGGCATATGCCTCTATTTGGTTTGCTTCAGCAAAAACATCAGACACCAATAAACATGAACAAGAAGAACAGTAAACTCCCAAACAAAAAATAGCCATTGGAAAAGAACCACGAGAAAAGAAAATTCAGAAGAGAACTCGTGAAGAATTATGAAGAACATTTCTTCAAGTTCATGAGATAAAAGGGGGTGGGAGATTCTCCATGGTTGTGCAAAATGGTCTAGATCCATGACTATTCAAAAGTGAGAGAAATGAATATAATGCAAAAATACCTCCTCAAAATCAACTGTATGCTTCCATCATCGTCAGCAGCAAGTAAAGCAATGGAAAGGTGTTCAGGTCCGATGAAATGATGGCCCATTTGCTTGGAATACTCAACAGCAGAATCAAACACCCTCTTGGTGCTGATAGCAAAGGGGACATGAGGCGTAATAGCCGCACTATGAACACTGGCATCACCTATTGCATCGTTAGTATGCCAAATATCACGAACGGCCTCACGAGCCACAGAGAGTGTAAGACCCGAATCTAAAAAACCACCAGCAGATTGATTATGTTCTTCCTCAGCAATCAAACCCAAAAGAAGATGTTGGGTAAAAACCAAATCCTTCGAAAGGGCTTTCGCCTCTCTCTGCGAAAAGATCACAGCCTTAATCGCTCTTTCGGTGAACCGCTCAAAAATGGCAGAAATGACCGGAATCCTCAACCGCCTCTTCCGCCGGATTTTGCCGCTGATTAAACCATTTCGCGAACGAAATGAAGAGACAAACGCAGGGGAAAACGAGGACACAAGATTGGAAGATGGGAATCCATGGATTCGCCGTCCAGATAAATTGGAACTCGATAGAACACTCAATGAACAAGTGGAAGAAGAAACCGTAGCCGGAGAAATCAAATGGGTCTGTTTACGGCAATCGAACACCGAAGTTTGATGGAACAAATTGGAAGATGGGGTCGCTGGCATTTTTGTTCAAATCGCAGAAAAAGAAATTCTAAAGAACCCACTAGAAATCTCAATCCCAAATTCTCAGAGGAAATAATTCATGAATCAGTTGAAAGAATCGGGGAGTTGGGGCGGTGATGAAGGTTAAGAACAAGCAAGGAATTGCAGAAGAGTAACACGGCACGTAAAAGGAAAGGAATACCGAATCGGGCACGGTGATGAAGACCCACATGGTGAAGGGATACTTATTTCAACGCCGACGGAGAGGACCGGGGCTTGAGACAGTACCATATTGAGACGCAATCCGCAAACGTCAGTGCCAATAATTTGTCTTTACAACAGCTTTCTAACATCACAAGGACGTTCATCTCGCCTTTCCCCTCGGCTCGTGTTGAAAAATGTATCAATCGAGTCACCCATTTGAAATATCTCATAGCAATTGGTAGACGGTCGAAATTTGATTAGTCTTTTGCATCTGAACAGAAGAATTCACCGCAGATGTAAGAGGTATCAAAGAGGTATTCGTCTTGGACCATGTTAGATTAGATGACAATATTTCCCTACAAAACATTCCACCCACTTGAATTTCGAAGCTTATAACACAACAAGTTTGAAATCGAAACCTAATTTAAAAATCTTAATGGAATAATTAGGTTATATATATGAAATAAAGGGCATATAATAATACTTATATGTACATCAAAAGCATGTTCTTTGTGATACCTAAATGTAAATTGAAAATGGAGGTTAGTTTATTATTTAATACTTAGGCCACCTATTGCCAATTCACAACTACCCTATTCATTTACTAAAATGAAATAAAAAAATTAAAAAAAAAGTCAACTAGATGTAGCGATGGTCAACCGAAAGAAGTCGAATGAAGGACTTACAGGGCTTTTGATGCCTACTCACTCAATTGTGTTGAGCTTTGGTGTCGTGTGGCATGCCCGCATTACATACATGATATTATGGGTTGGCTTGAAATGTGTCAAAATTGTCCAACTATATGAGATTAAGGCCTGAAAGTAGAGCGGAGATAGAGAAGTCTTCCTTTTTTTCATTCTCGTTTTTAACTCTTCTTTTAATTTTTATTGAGATCAAACCAAGGATTCCTCGGAAAGAATTTACGGGTTAAATGGACTTAAGTACAAAGATTTCACTTCGAGAAAGATAATTGATACTGCCCATTTTAGGAGAGATGTATTCCATCCGATCCTAAAGCTTAGTAGAGTTGGGGTGTCTTTGATATACTTACACGTTTAAATGCTTACTTTATTAAAAAAAAAATTGTAAAATTCTTTTTAATTAGAGTGATTTTACTTTAAACTTATGTTGGTTTGCATTTTTTAAAAAGTTATTTTAATCAAACTTTCTTTGGTTGGATTGAGTTGAACATTTCACGTTCTGTACATGTTCACGGGAGTTGGGTTGAGAGATTTTTTTTTTTACTAACTCAAAGTTACTATTGGTTGGATTGGTAACCCAATCCTCTATTTTCGGGTTGGGTTGTTGATTAAGTTTTATTTATCCACAAATTATTCAGATACAATCTTTGATAAAATATATTAAAAGTTTACAAACACAGCTTGATTGGCAACCCAATATGAAATTTTTTTTTTTGTTCACAAACCCAATTCAAAATTTTTTTTGGGTTGATAAATTTTATTTATCCACAATTTATAATTATTAGGATACAATATTTGATAAACTATTAAAAGTTCACAAACCGGTTAGTTGGAATAGTAACCCAACCCAACCCGAAAATTTTGGGTTGGGTTGTCGATTAAGAGTTCACAAACATGGGTTAGTTGGATTGGTAACCCAACTCAACCCAAAAATTTTCGAGTTGAATTGTTGGTTTAGTTTTATTTATCCACAATTTATAATTATTCAGATACAATCTTTGATAAAATATATTAAAAGTTCACCAACAAATAAAATATATTAAAAGTTCACAAACAAACACAAATCGATCTATAATTATTCACAACGATCTATATTATTCACAATAAAAAAATGTATATCCCTTGACATCAAACTTAAGCATGAGTGTCCTTGGAGAATCCAAGGTACCACTTTGGCAAACTTATTAATACTAAAAAATTCTTAATATAAATTATATATTTTTATTTGGCTGGGGTCAACTTGAGGGTTTTATCCACGAACCCGAAACCGAACTAATTTAGTTCAGGTTTAAAAAAATGAATCCAACCCAACTCTTATAGTTCGGGTTGAGTTGATCCGAGTTGTCGGGTTGTGTGTTATGCCATGAACAAGTATTGCAAGACGAGCGCTTTGGACATCTTCTTTTGTAAATAGATTTTTTTAGGACAGTGTCAGAGACGCAAGTGTACTGACATTGCACCTCCGCCCATGAGTCAGAGGTTGGTATATGGTACCGCTCTCCAGTACAATATCCGTAAATAACTCAATATGGACACGAGATCGTCGTTTATGCATCAATAATACCTAGATGGACATATCTTCAAGATGTCTCAACAACATAGTTGACTCACGGGGATAGTTCTTGATAAGTATCTCTTAGCGAGCAATAACGACCAATGACATCCTAATGAGTGGGTCATATTGTTGGGAACCAAGACGATGAGATGAGGTGTGACATTGTATTTGAAAGATTTTTACCTAGAATAGAGGCTAGGTCGAGCTAGATGATTTGACCTAGAGTAGAGGCAAGTCGGCTAAAGTCACAAGCAAGTGAACATGCACACATGAGCGGTGCGTATGACCAAACAAACTTATTTTCTACCTGAGTTGTATTTTGTCAGCAAAGGAGAACCTCAGCTAAGGTCTAACAAAGTCTAAAACCGAGCAAAAAAATAGAAATGAAACTTGAGCTCCCTTTAAAACTTGTCATAAATGTGTCAAGTTCATAATGTCACCTAGTGCGAGACGTACAATTGTGTAACATGCAACATTAGAATGTGACAAATCAAATGAATAATATCATATTATTGTGAAGATTCCTTATTTCTATCAAGTGGTGTCAGAATCATGTCCTCATCTTAATTGCTCGAGAGTATGTGTTATACAAAAATTAAATTAAATATAAAATGCCCAAAATCCTCTTATAATATTTTCGTTAGATATTAATACTTTAATTAAATACAATAAATACGGTGTAGGATAAAAAACATGTATTATTATTAAAATATTAATTTATCATATTGAAACTAATTAATAAACTTATTTTAAAAGTCTAATTAAGACATAATTAAATATATGTTTTAGTTCATCGATAATATTTAAGTTTATTTTAGTATAGTTTCTATTATTTAAAAAAGAAGTTGTAATTTAACTTTTATTATTTAAAATTTTTCAATATTATTTGATATGGTTTAATTATAAATATTCAACCAACCAAAAGAAATAATCTTTGATTTTAGAAAAAAAATTGATTATAAAATTGTAAAATATTTAAAAATTAAATCAATTGATTTAATTTTCTCCATTGAATAAATAATTGGTCTAATTTAAATATTTTAGTAAAAAAAATATAATTTTTATTTTATTATTTTTGGTTGGTGTCACCATAAGCCCTTGCCTTTTGAGCACCAAGTCCTCGGCGGAGAAGAAAAAGGCTTTACTCATCAATTTGTAGGTACGTATTGAGGCGTCCGGTAGGGAAATTCAGCCGATTTTCTTGTAGAGAGAAGATGCGTTTTGAAATCGCGAAGAAATTCTGTTGCTAATTTGACGATTTCACTTTTTTCGGTCCGAAAAACCTAACAAACTCTTCCTCGAATCATATCATCATCTTTGAGTTGATGGTATTCATCTGAAAGAGGTTAGGTTTTACTTGGATTGGTAATCGATTTCGTTCAGATCTGTTCGACTTTAGAACTGTTGATTTATACTGTTGAACTCGAGTTCTGTAATTTTTTTCGAATCGGATTTGAGAGGGCATGTTATCGCAGGAACTTTCTCCATTTGGAATCTAGCTTGTGTTGGATTGTGTCTGAGGGTTTCAGGGAATCTTCTCTTTTTAACGAGAGGTTGTTCTTCCTTTTTTTTTTTTTTTTTTTTTTTTTTTTTT